CTGTCCCGGTGTCCGTGCCGCGCTCCCCGCGCGCGCAGAGCGCCCCCTGGCGGTCGCGCGGGCGCACGGCAGCAGGGGCGCTGTCGGTCCGCCGGCCGCCAGGGGGCGCAGGCGCGCGGGCGGCGGCGGCGCGGGGCGGGCCCGGCCGGGGCGGCGGCGGCGGCGGAACCGGGAGGGCGGCGCGGCCATGGAGGAGCCGTCGGTACCGGACGCCTCGGCGGCGGGGCGGGGGCCCATCAAGGGCATCCTGAAGAAGAGCGGCAGCAAGGCTTCGTCGGGAGCGGCCGTGGGAGCGCGACAGCCCAGCCAAGCCTGTGACGAGGACGATCACGGGTGAGGCCCCGGTGGTGGTGGTGGGCGGCGGCCGGTCCCCGCAGGGCCCCGCTCCGGCCGCCCCGCTCCTTGGAGGGGCCCGCGGGGCGGGAGCAGCCGGGCGGCGTCTCCAGCTGGGGCTGCTGCTGCGCCCCGTGCCCGGGGGATGCTGCGGGGCGGGGCGGGGTCCGAGCCGTGCCCCCCGTGCGGCGGCGGCCGGAGCTCGGCTCCGCTCGGCGGTGCGGGCCCGGCGGGGGCAGCTCCCGCCGAGCCCGGAGCCCGCAGGGAGCGGGGGGATGCCGGGGCCCGGCGGGGGCAGCTCCTGCCGAAGCCGGGGCTCCGCTGGGAGCGGGGGGATGCCGGGGCCCGGCCGGGGCAGCGCCTGCCGAGCCCGGACCCCGCTGGGAGCGGGGGGATGCCGGGGCCCGGCGGGGCAGCTCCTGCCGAAGCCGGGGCTCCGCTGGGAGCGGGGGGATGCCGGGGCCCGGCGGGGGCAGCTCCCGCCGAGCCCGGAGCCCGCAGGGAGCGGGGGGATGCCGGGCGTGCACCTGAGCGGAGCCGGGGAGCGCTGCTCGCATGAGGCCGGCGGGAGCTGTCGCCGTGGCTCCTATCGAGGAGTGGCGGTCACCTGCTGAGTGTGGCAGCTCACAAAGGGTTTCACCGATGCTACGAGGCTGGTTCGCAGTTTGGGAAATGCGTTTGATTTATTCTCAGCCTTCTCATAGGTAGCTCATTTCTTGTAATCTAAAGCATGTCTCTGGAGAAGGGACCTCTCCTGGGTTGAAACATAATCAAGATGTATTCTCGGTTGGGCAGGATCCATCTGTAAAAATCTCACGCTTGAGAATGCACACCGCCTTGAGGTTATTTAAATGACATGAAAATCTTGGCCGAGTTAGTCCAGACACGCCAGAAGTGTTCTTCAGCTGGTCATGACCTGTCCTTGATGATTAAGAATCCTACACTTTTCCTGATGCACCCAGCATGTGCTGCCTGCCGTTGTTCTGATTCTCCATAAAGTTATGATGAGCAAGGTTTGACCTGAACTCAGTGTTTACAAATTTGCTTTTGACAGTTTTCTCTTTTTGGTACCTTATTCAGTATTGCAAGGAGAGAAATAAAATAGTCATGCTGGTCAGTCTTTTAATTATTATGGTAATACTCCTTTCATCTTTGCCTAGTTAAGTGATGAATGTAGTCTAAAGTCAGCAAGGTAAGAAAGAAGAGCTTTTGGGTTGCAGTGTTGCATGTGTTAGCTGCTCCTGCTTTCCAGAGAAAAAATTCAACTGAATGAATGAGATGGTGTTTTTGAAACAGGCGAGTGTAAGTAGCAATATGTTACACAAATGTGATTTTTTAATTTTCCTTTAGTTCTAATATTATGTAGCTTGATGTGTTTAACACCACACCAGACATAAATTACAATTGACTGTTGGTAGCCTGTGTTTAATTTTCTACAGTTTCTTTTGTATCATCTTGAAAACTGAGTAGAAATTGGACTATGAAGTGATGAAAGTATGGTATATTGGTTGTTGCACACAGTAATTTCCTGGGAAGCAGTGGGCTAGAGTCCAGTTTCTATTTCCTGTTTACCAATGTGAGCCAATAAAGTCAGATTAATTCTGAAATAGCCTTGCAAGTTGAAAGATACTGGCTAAACCTGGCAGGGTGCATTAGAAAATTTCCTGGAAAGATCAGTACAGGGAATATAAAGCTGGTTTCTGTGCAGGTATTATTTTTGGTTGGCAATGTATCAATATATCAGTGTTTTTTCTGATTTCAGCTAAAGAATTTTGGTTTTAGAAGAATGATATAGCACAGTTGTGATTTTCCTTTGAGACTGAAGAGTAGTTAATAAATTCAGGTATCTGTTTTCTTAATTCTTCTGCTTATTTCTAATATTGAAATTGAGGTCTGCAGATCCTTAAGAATATCTGTAGATGAAAGAGCTCATTGTGTCAGCTATCAATCTTTTAAAGCACGATGTTCAGTAGAGCTCTCATGTACTTGCATCATTACTGACCTTGCGCTGCTGTTACTGATGGTAACATTGTTTGGAAAATTTCCTTCATGAAAATATGATAAGAAGGAAGCTTGAGAGATTGGGATACCACTGGAATGCATCCTGAGAGCTGAGATCATGGTTTTATGGCAGATGTGTTCTTGGCATACACACTGAGGTACGCCTGTGAGCGAGTGGATGTGGTATTTTACAAAGCAATTATGGAAGTGTGTGTGCGCACAAGCAGCTGTGTTGGAAGAGGTGAGTCTGCTATGGCAGGAGCAAGGCAGGTGTGAGAGGTGTTCCTTGGCTGTCACTGCTGCTGAAACTTCTTGCTTGTCCACACCACCTGGTGTGATGTCAAATGAAGTTATTGTATATTTTTAAAGATGTGAGAACATACAAATGAACACTTATGAGATTTTTCAAATCTCATTTTCCTAAGGAAGATTAGATTTCCTATTTCTGTATCTGAAGGGGTGTGAGGATGCATTTCCCTGTGATGGTCCTAAGCCATGTCATTAGTGTTGTGCTTTGCAGACATGCCTAAGCATGCAAAATTTGAAACAAACAGGAGAGGTGTGGGTTTTCAGAGCACTTAGTCATTCTTCTGTGAGGGCTTTTTACAGGCAGGGGTGAAATTACATGGTTGTCTCTGCCTCTAATGACTTTTTTTCCCCCAGGTTGACTTAAGTTGTACTTTGGGAGGTGTTCCACAGCCAAGGCTTTTAGTGTCGGAATCTGAGTTTAAAAAAACAAGTGTGAAAAATAAAGCCACTAAAAACTTGTTCAGTCTTTTATTTATGACTCACTGACTTGCTCAGTGTGGGCTGTCTGATTTCCAGCACAGTGCATGCCAAAGGGATTGTTCCAAGATTGCCAGTATTATTATTAGGTGGAGTTGTGAGCCTGGGCTATAAACCTTGATGTGCTCTGGGCAAGTGAACACAAGGCATGTGAAGGGAATCTCTCCCATCTGTTCTATTTCCTTGTCAGCTGAGCTCTGTCCCTTTACAGCAGCTGTGTACCCTGTGTACCATTGACTAAGTGCTCTGGCTGGTAAAATTCCGCACTGAGCATCTTGTGTTGGTCATGGAGGAACTTCAGGCTGTGTTAAACTGGGTAAACTGGGGATTTTTTTGACTCCTAACCAGACAGTTTTGAATGAGTGGCATCCCTAGACCGGAGCTCTTGCTTTGTCATCACGAAGCTCATGACTCCCTGCCCTGCCAGAGCCACGATCTGACTCACGTGTTGTCCGCTTATGCTGCAGTCCTTGTGTTTGCACAAAATGATGAAATGGACCTGAAGCTTCAAACATGAGACCTTGGCACTGGGTACTGTATGCTGAGGGGATTAAGATCATTCAATCTGTATTAATTTCTGGAGTATAAGCCTGTGGCATGTAGGATTCAGCATCAACCCCCAAATCTATTTTTTTTTCTTTTTAGTTTCCCCCCCCCCCACTGTATTATGCAGTGATGCTGTAAATGTAGGATGTAGTTTGTGCTTGGAATTTTGCTTTATCAAGTTTGTTTTACAGATGTTATTCTAAGAGCACTGGTGTTATTGAGATTTAATATATCTTTCAGATCTGTTATTGGAGCAGTCTGTGTTTAAACAAGAGCAGTTAAATTGAAGTCTCCCAGCTAACTGCCCCTTCCCACCCCCCAAAAAAACCCCAACAACCACCCCAAACCAAATAAAAAGCCCCACGAAACCCACAAAGTCCTTTAATGTTTGCTTCCTTAACTAATAATTTACAACAAGAATATATTAATTAGTCAAATTTTTGTATTATTCTGAAATTAAATTTATTGGCTTAATCTAAGGGAAAGACCACCTTATATGAAATTTGCAGTAACCTTTTTAGAGAAAATATGGAACATAGTGGTTTGTGTTGATTAAATATTTTTGTGGCTTTTAGATCAGGGGAGGAATGGCTCTTTCTCTGGCCTCAAGGCAATTGCTTTTCTTGTGGCTTATATATTTTGTCAGTGAGCAGTCAGTGTGGGTGAGCTTTAGTTTCTTCAAATATACATAAAATGGTACATTTTTCTGGTTGACTAAGAAAATTCTAGATAACATAGCATCACTGGTGCCTGTCTGTTTAAGATGTGAAACTCCCTCGGCTTAATTATAGCAGTGACTCACTTGGCTTATTATTCCAATTTTGGATGTCAAAAGCAGTATTAATAATCACCTTGTTCTATGCTACTGATTTCACTGCAGGAGGGGATATGTTGGTTGCTATTGTTTAAGCAACAGTTTTGCTAATAATTATTCCAGCTCCTTCAGCAGAGATGAACTGAAAAGCATTGGATTCTGGTGAAGTCTTGTGGGTTGTAATAAGGGGAAGAATTCTCTTTTTACAAGTTAACTGTAAAATCAAATAGTTCACAAGATAATCATTGAACAAGACCAGGAGTCTCTGAATTATATTAATATGTTTATAGATAATTGACTTTGTTTAGCTATTGTGACTTGTTAGGGAAATTTAAGTTGCACTGAAAATTTGTTATGACTTCAGTATGCACAGAGCAGTATTTAATAATTGTACTTTGAACATGTCTGTGTCATAAGGATATTTTTTGTGCTTAGTGTGTAGTAAAGATCAGATGATGTTTTAAAAATTCCTTCTCTGGTAAAGCAGAGGTAATTGTTTTAGAAAATAAGAAAATTTTATTTTCTTTTCTTATTTCAGTAAAAAATCACAGAAGTGGGATGAAATGAACATCATAGCTACATACCACCCTCCAGGCAAAGATTATGGCTTGATGAAAATTGATGAGCCAAGTACTCCTTACCACAGGTATGCTTGCTTAAGTGTTGGTCTGTGTGCTGCCAGGTGGAATTGTGGGTTTAGAGCAAAGTTTACTTTGTGGGTGATGTAGTATTACTGTGCAGGCCTGCTGGGTGTGTGCAACATACTCAGATCTACAAAGCTTCTAAATAAGGAGAACAGTCAGAAAGGACAAAGTGTGAAGGACAAGGTTTAGAAGGTTTGCTCTAGCAGGCTTTAGCCTTTGAATGGAGTAAGTAAGTCTGACTTCTATTGATTTTATTTTTTTCAGTACTAGAATATAATGTCATATCAATATTTAAAGTTGATTTGGAAAGCTTTTAAAGCATTAAAGGAGTCTTCTAATTGAGTGTTGTAAGGTTTTGGCTGTTTTCTTGAGCAAACTACTAAAAGCAGCTACTTTTTGTTTGTCCTTCAAGCATGGTAGGAGAAGATGATGAGGATGCAGTGAGTGATTCAGAATATGAGCCCTTAAAAGCAGATGTATTGAGTAAAAAGTAAGTATTGTAATTATAAAAACTGACTAAATGTGAAGAAAATCTGCTCTTTCCTGCGGTAGATGCTCTTTATGGAAAGCTGTTGCTGGTTTCTCTAGAAGCTGCATTTTTGCTATTGTCAAATGCAGTGTTTTTCAGTGTTTGATAGTGCTGCTTGTAATTCAGACTTGCACATTATTACTACATACAAATATGGCAAAAATAATGAACAAAACTGTTTGTATGAGTATTCTGAAATGTCATGTATTTTAAATAGTGAAAAACTTGCTGTTTCAGCATTTTGTATTGCATGATTTATGTAGACTGGCAGCTGCAGCTGAAGGTAGAGGACCCAAGGTTATAGCAAGGCAAGAAGAAAGCAGTGAGGAGGAGGACGAGGATGAAGAATTAACACCTGAAGAACGGGGTATGCAAAGTTATTTTCTTTCTTTTGTTTAGACTCTTTTCCTACAAATAGTCTCAGGTTTTCTGTTAGAAATATTTGTGAAGAAGAAATGCTTTCAGAAAAATGTTATTATTTTAAAAAAGAGATAAATAGTGTTTGAACAAATACGCTGCTTTTTTCTAGTCAGAATGTTTGGTTTGAGATCTACATATAAACAGGAATTTGCTGTTGTTGGCTGCCTCCCTGTATACAAGATTAAAGTATGGGAATTCCTGCTAAGACACCTCAAATAAGTTCTGGTTTGGGGTTGAAGGAATAGTTCTTCATCTGTACATATTTCAGGTAGACTTAATTCAATGAGTACAACAAATAAAATGCTGCTAATTGCTTGCAAATGATGCTTCTGTTGTTCTCAGTGCAATTGGTAGATGTATGTAATAGGAAGACTACAGTTATTCTGAAGCAAATAGCATCTTTAACAGCAATGTTGTTTCATGTTGACTTGGACTAGAACGTTTTGAGGGAACAGTGAAACAACAATACTTCTAAGGTTTCAGGCTTGTATTATCTAGCTGGTGCTTCTCAAATTTCCTGGCCTTAACTTTGAGTGTGAAACCATGCTATACTACAGGAAGGAAATGAACAAAGCGTTGGGGCTGGCAGTAAGCAAAATTTACTTGAATTATAATGCATTACTGCTGGATATGCTAATGTTTAATATATGGAGCAGAGCTGGCTTCAGGCCATGGGGAAAGTGGAAAATATTTTCTTCTACATGTGGTAAATATATCTCTCATAACTGACCTTTGGTGGCTAGCCAGGAGTCAAGCCACACATCTGCAAAAGTTCATCTTCTATCCCAGCAGTATGTCTCAATTTGTCCTTGAGTTTACTTAGAAACAAGGCTTGTGAAACTTTGGAGTTTTGTGTACTTTTACCAGATGCTTCTTGTGGTTCAGACTTACTCTTAGTTGCAAACAGGTTCTTAGAAAAGTGCTTCTGAGATTCCAATTACTATCCTTTTTGTAAGTCAGACTCATTTTAAAAGAACACTCCACTGCTTGAAGACAATAATTTTTATTCATTGAGTTCGTCTTCAAAGAAGAAACGTTGATTTTTTTAAGGGAAGGATCAACTATTTCCATTTTTTTTGCCCACAGAGAAAAAGAAACAGTTTGAAATGAAGAGAAAAATGCACTATAATGAAGGAAGAAACATCAAACTGGCAAGGCAGCTCATTGCAAAAGAACTACATGGTGAAGAAGAGGAAGATGATGAGGATGAAGAGATGCGTGATGCTGCAGATGTAGAAACAATGAGTACAGAACCTACCGAACATGGTGAGCTACTGATGAATTAAAAAGCACCTGTAAGTACTGGTGGCCTTCTGAGCTGTTGGGAAGTGAATATACTCAAGTGTAAGATGACTAGAAGGAGTACAGTATGTATGTAACACTCAATGAGTACTGTTGCACTCTGTCTTGATAGGTAGACTTGTAACATGGAACAAAAACTCAGTGTTGATAAACAGCATGTAGGCTTTTGTTTGTTGTGGCATAACAGAAAAACAAACATTTCTGCTTCTTACCATTTCCCCAAAATAGCTGACTTTGGGTAATGAAGTTGCCAGCATCCTTTTTAAAGGAAGAGCTGTCTTGTAGTGAACACTTTAATGGCCACATGGGAGAGCCTGGCTTTTTGTTGTGGGTCATTCATTTCCCATTCTGCTCCAAATCCATACTGTAGCCAGCAATGGGAGATTACCATCAATGTTTCCTCCCTGTTGAGAGAACTGTATTTATCTTGCTGAGGAAAAACACTGTAATGTAAAACTGCTGCTAGGTCTTCAATACAGACTTGTCCTTGAGCAGAAATGTTCATTGCTATAGTATGAGATAAGACTCTGGGATAACTTTGCTTTTAGTGCAGCTACTGGAAGAAAGTCTGGGATGTTTAAGTGGGAGCTGTTGCTGTCTCTTCATAGGAAACTCCTAAAACTATAGAGGCTGACACCTTCTCTTTCATCTTTAAACTTCTTTCTGGGTGAAAAGTCTTAGACTTCTGTGGTGGTATTCTGGTGAATAATTACAGTTCACTCCCCACCTCTTTATGTAACAGCACTTTGAATAAATTTTTGACATAAACAAACCACGCATCTGTTGCTCATGAGACTGGTGGCAGTGAAGTCTGTAAGCCTTGTTCATCTGTGGTTGGCAAAGCTATGAGATATTAGCATGGTCTGCAGACTTGGGAAGATGCTGCATGGGTTTAACTTGGTTCACATCTGCTTTTCACAACCATGTGAACTAGGAACTCATCTAAAATTCATTTAAATCCCACTCAATAAAAAGGTGATTTGCAAAGTTGTGTGTTTAAGTTCTGTGGATTGCACCTTTTCGTCCTGTTATTTACTACAGGAGGACTAATTCCTTCACAATTGCTCTGAAAGGGTCACTTGGTACGTGTCTGAGACCCATTACTGGACTGACTTTATCCAGTAACTGAACATAGGCCTTATAATGGCTATTTACTAGAACTTCACTCTCCAGGGGAAAGGAGGGCTGCAGTAGCCAACCGTATGAGCCTTCTGCATAGCCTGAAGCTGCCAGCTCTCTGCACTCTGCTGTAAAACAGAGGCAACCTCGCTCCCCAGCTGCATTCGCCAGTGGAAAGAAGGCAGACCTTTGCAGCATTTTTCCATCTCTATTGTTGAAGTCCATTCCACCTTCCTCATAACCAGCTTCAGAGCCACAACTGGTAATTATCAATTTTAGACTGCTCATGGCTAATAGATTCCATAAGTGTAACTTGTCTGCCAGTGTAGCAACCTGTCAACTAACTGGTTCACCTCCACACCATAGCATATAGAAATGCTTTCCATTAAGCTGATGTAGTTCTCAGTTCTTCACTTTTCTATCATTCTGCTTAAACCTTCATGTTCTGTTATCTCCCAATCTCTGTATCAGCTATCACAGCCTTTAATCCCTGTCCTTGATCAGTTCTTCTGAGGTTAAGCACTGGTCTCACTTTTGTAGCAGGTGGTGAATTGAATGCCCTCAGATGGATAATGAGACAGGGTTGGGCAAAGGATGATGAGATACGAAAAAAAAAAAAATGTTAATAAACCAGTCTTCTGTCCTGCCCACATTTTAAGAAATTCCTACATTGAGATGAGAAATGTTCAGCACGCATCTATGTTAATGTCAAAATTTTTCTGAAATAACTTTTTTGAGATTACATTATTTATTGCTCTCTCATCTGTATTCTGAGGAAACAGAAAAATCTCCTTATTCATAAGTGTTAATTGGAGCTACAGAAGGTTTCTCAAATAGATGGCTTTAACACTTGCTACTTGGGGTTTTTGGCCATTGTATTTTTGGTCATGGTGTGCTTTTGGTTACATTAAGCACTTGAGTATTTAAAAATTAGGCTGTTTCCTTCATGGAAGGAAATCAAAATCCTATTAATATGTTCCTGAGACCAGTATATGGAAAGATTATTCACCTGGATAACTTTCAAAGAGCTCTCTGACTTGAAACTGTATTTTAAAGTACTTTTGTCTAGAGTAGTAAAGGGAGGGTTTCCTTACTCTTGTACTGGATGATACAGGAGTTGATTTTTTGCAATGGCTTGTTTTGGCATCAAACTGACTAACAGCCCTGATGCTTGCTTTTAACTTCAATGAAAATGTCCTGGGTTTTTTGCATGTATTCTAGCTATATTTTTATAAATTCTTCCATTTGACTTGAGTTCTTGGGTAGTTGTGGAGATCATGACATGATGTGGCTGCCACTCAGCTATTATGCCAGTCAGTCTATGTGAGTGAGAGGTGCCATGCAATGTTCTTTTATTCCAATGGAGTAACATGACTTCTGTAGTATTGATGATTGTTGCAGGTAAAGATGTGACATAAGAGACATTTCTTAGTGGCCTGTTGTGACTCTGGGGTTCCACTGGCTCCTGGGTTGTTTTTCAGCCAATTTGAGAATGTCTTCTCACTTGGAATTTTTTCTATCCATGAAGATCCTTTAAAGATTCTATGCTTCTCTTACCTGATACTTCTTTCTACTCCCTAATTCAGTCTGCTTTGTATTTGAGTAAAACTAACAGTACACTTCTAATCTCTACAGTCTGCTTTCAAAGAAGGGGCTAAAGACTTAGGGCAGGTTGAAGGAGGCTCCTGTCAGATACCACCAGGTCCACTAATGCAAGTTGCACTTCTTGGTTACAGACTGAGATTTCTTGCTGATAAAATGAAGATGGCCAGTCCAGTCAGTGATGGTGAGAACTCTGTATATTTTTGCTCCTCTTTCTGTTGTGACTACCAGTTGTTTTAAATGGATGGATCATTCCTTTCTTGCCTCAAGTAGCCATGTTGTATGGATTCCAGCAGCCAAGCTTTTTTGTGGAAAAGAAAGTATAAGTTGTAGACTGCATATGGCAGGGGGGTTGGAGCTGGGTGTCCTGTAAGATTCCTTCTAACCCAAACCATTCTATGATTCTACATTTGCTTGCTTCAGCATTTCACCTTCTCTGGGTACTTGCTATTTATGACTCCATGAATAACATAAATAGACTTTGCTAGCAGAAGTGACCTTTGTTTCTCTCCATAAAAACTTTCCCTTTAGAAATTCTCTTTGAAATCACTGAAGGAAATATTCCTGATGTAGGTAAATTTAAGCATGGTGATTTCAGTGCAGACCCGTCTTCTGCTACACAAAAGTATCAGCCAGAGGGTGTTGCCTATAGCAGTTCAATTGACAGGAAGTAAGACTATTGTTCTCTTCCTCTGGTTCATTTAGCTGCATTGCTCTGCTAACCCTGCTCAGATGGCACCCAGTAGCTGAGCTGTCACTGACTGGGTGTGCCCTTTGGCCTTTGGTAGATACAGAATGTATTGTGTTTTCTTAAACAGAGCAAGCATCACCCTAAAGATGAAATAAGTGAGAAGGCTGGGAGCACACAGCAATCAGCTCTGCTGGTTAACTGAGTTGTTTGCTTGTTAAACTGCATGTTACCAAATCTAACTCATGCCCATGCCTAACTGACATTTTAAAAAGAATATTGTCCTTTAAATGAGGTATTCTTTGATCAGCACTGAGGAGGAGTTTCCTCTGATTTATTGCAGTGCTTTTGCTCAAAAGCATGAGTTAACAACTTCCTGAAAACACATTACTGTACTCCTTCATAAGCTTGGGGTTCTTTTATTTCAAGTGCCTCATCTGGAACTGAAATTTGGCCTGAGAAGTACTGTGCTTGCTGGTGTTTCAGGAACCTCGTGCATTAGTTCTAAACACCTGAGTTAAATCCTCCCACTTCCGGGGAAATGAGCACGCAGTGCTTGGTGTGCTCAACAGTGGTGTTGCCCATCATTTAGGGCATGAGAGTCTAATAAGTGTTTTAGATATTTCTGCACTCTGTAACTAAAAGCTTATACATTGCTAAGATGGGTTGGCAAACATCTTTGGAGAAGCAAAGATGGTTTCAGGAGGATAGTTGTGTGTGTTGTGAAAATATTGAACAGGTGTGAAGAATTATCTGTTTTTTGTAATTTTTCTTATGCAGCACATGTTACTCGTGACCAGCTGGAAAGTGGAGCACACAGCATAGAAGAAATCTGTCCAGAACTGTAACTGCTTGTCAAAGACACAAATATAAACATCGCTTCATGATTTTTGCAATTAAGGCTCTTAAATGTTAAGAAGCATATCCGTTACAATGTTGTATTGCCAAGAATGTTAATTTTAGATTTGTCCATTAGGCAGAAAACACTGTCTAATCGATTTATTCTTGTGCCTAGTATTTCATGGAGAATACTGCTTCATAATTTGTTCAACCAGAATGGCATTCCCTGTATGTATAGCACTGATTATCTTGCGTGATGTACTGTTACTCTTGCTTTGAAACACTCACTATCTTTCGGTTTTACACTATTTATTTGAGAGTGTTCTAGATGTAGTGTCTCATATGGAAAGTTTTGGGATTCAAGAGCCAAACGGTACAGCGAATATCAGATTGACATGTAAGCTATTTATCAGATGTGTTAAGCAGTTTAAAAAGGGATTATTCAAGTCCTACAACTTTTTTTTTTTTTTGTAAAGTATTGACCTGTTAATCTAGATTTCAGTATGTTTTTGCCTGCACCTTCCCAGTGTTTAGAACAAGAGCTGTGCTATTTCTTAAGAGTGGTGTTTGGAATTGGTTGTTAGTTTCTGACTAAAGCAGTACTAGCATCTGGTTGAGGGAGTGTTTTTACACTGGAAGCAGCTAACTTGAACTTTGCATTTAACTGTCATAACCTCTTCCATCAGGACTGGTTGTTTTGTGGAGCTCTCTCTGGCTTATTGTGAGGCCGTGCAAGTTCCTTACAGCTTTTCTCTTAAATCACAACCACTGTTACTCTTCTGGCTCTTGTTTCAAATGTTTGGTTCTTTCCAGTTGCATGAACAGTGTTTGTGCTGTTAGCACCTGAGGAAAAACACCCAGCCATGAGTGTATAAATCAGGACTGAAGATGTGCTGAGCCTAGGCTCTGGCTGTTCTTTATTAAAGATAACTGCTGTTGATCTACTCTTTTGGGGTTGGCAACGTCCACACTGAAAACCATTGGTCTAAATCTTCCTGTGTCATTGCAACTTACAGCAACTGCTTTTGTAAAATGAAGGCTTTTTTGAAGCGAGAAGGGAAACTGCCTAATTCAAATACTTGTTTACAGTGTGGTTGTATAGCTGTAAAGAGGGATTCTGCACCTCCAAATTGCTGTAAAAACTTCCCACTGGGTGGAATTTGACTGGTGAATGTTCCAGTATTCAGAGTAGTTCCTGGGTTTTATTATACAAACGAAGTACACACTTAAGCTTCAGCTTGATTATGAAATACAGTGTATATCTTAATTTTGATCTGAATTTGATATGTTGCAAAAATCCATATAATTATATGGATCAATTTTAAAATGTCTTTTTCTCCACTGTATATGTGAAGTTTGAATAAAGGAATGAAAGTTATTTTACAGTTACATACATTCTCAAGTGTGAGCTTTCCTGGAGTCCCAGAGAAATTGAGAGTGAATAAGGCAATAGGATGCTGTCATTTGAAAGATTTTTACAGGAATGATTAATTAGACTGGACGCATTGCCAAAGATACCTGTGAATTATGCTGTGTTTTGTAGGGTGCCTTTCCCAGCTATCTCCTCTCCTTAGTAGGGTGGTCAGTTTTGGGTTAGTTAATCTTCTAAGGTCCTGAATTGAGATTGATAGGGTCTTTTCACAAAAAAGAGCTGAACTCTTGATTCTGGCCAGTGTGGTGATGCTACTTTTTCAACATGCTGAGTGCTATTACTTCTTGTATCAAATGTGGTCACTTCCATGGAGTAAACAGTGGTAAAGGGTAAGCATTTAGATACTTTGACTCATCAAGTCACGTACTGCAGCTTTCAATTTGGCTCCTAAGAATAGGATTTCAAAACTTTGTTTGTACCTTTTATAAACCAGCTTGCAGTGTTCAGAGTGTTGGCCTGTGTGCACTGAGCTGTATTTCAGACTGAGCAGCTGCTGGCCTGGCCTGCCCCAGCTGGGCACTGAAATTCTGAAATTAAGGTAGAATCCAGCAGCAGCAGCTCTTACCCGAGCTAATGTCCTGCCCTCCTTAACCCCCCCACTTTCTTGTGTCCAAGGCCATTTGGTGCTCAGCAGGGCTCCTTTGTATCTTACAAGGTCTAGAAAGTATTTTCTTTAACAAACAAACTTCTCTAACTTCCAATAAAGACCTTTCCTGTAATGGCTTCCACAAATCTAGATGAAATGAGTATGCAGCTTTGAGGGAGGTACACAAATGCATGAAGACGGTTTTAAATTAACCACATAATGTATACTAGGTTCCTTCATCACTCAGGTGATTTTGAGCTGCTTGGGTGATCTCCTTTTTCTGTGCCTCCAAGCACCTAAATTCTGAGTTTGATGCTATTTTGAAACTTGATTTAGTTTGGGGTTTTTTTAAAGGCTTTGTTCTCTTCATTTTCCTCAGTGCTCGCAGAAATTCTGTTCACAGTGCTTCTTTGTCTTCCTCAGCAGAAGTGCAAGCCAATGTCCCTACCACTGCTTCTAAGTGAAAGGCTGGTTTACTTTGCTTACACCTTGATGCATTTTAAAAACTAAATCATGCAAGTTTTACTTTGCGGTAGCTCCAGAAGTTCCATACAGCTTTTTTTACAAAGGGATATCTGATTTCCCTCTGCTTGAGAAATATCAGGAGTTCCCTGTTGAATGGGGACAAGAGAAGAAATGTGCTTTCTCTTTTTACATTTGATGAGGACTTAGCTAGCTTGCATATGGTAAATACTCGTGTACAATACAGAGTGGTGTAAAGAGGAAACAAACACAGTACTTACTTATGTGGACAGTGAGCTCCACAGTACCATAATTGTGAATTTTCTTGCAAAGGTTTAAGTCCTCAAGCTGCATCCTGTTTAGAGAAGGCATTTTCAATATGCTTCCAGTAGGAAGATCACTTACAAATAAGAGCCTTAACTCATGTGTATAGATTTTTTTTTTTCTGTCTATAGCTTCTTTCCCACCAACTTGTATAATTCATGGAAACTGCAGATACTTTTTCCACAGCTAACCTCTCTCATGTGAAATTTGTATATCTTACCAGAACTCTTTGTTTCTGTAACATGCTTTTTTGTGGTATTATGATGCCACCTCACAAATGTAATTATTGTTTGAAACTGGTGTTAAGTGTCACAACATAAATAAAACAATTGTTTTCATTACTACCTTATGACACTAATACTAATCTAATGTTTGGCTTCTTGGAGCTCTTCAGTAGAAACTGGCAGCTAACATTTGCAGGTGTGTTCATAGATAAATTCTTAAACCAATATTGTAATTTCCTTATGGCTCTCATTTATAGTAACTTTGATGTAAATTTGTTTGTTCACACAGATTTGCTGGCTTGCCTAGGCCTGAGGGTAGATCTGGTAACCTAAGTCAGGAACTTAAGACAGCAGTACCTCAGAAAAGGCTGCATTTTTCAAGGTGTTTTTGTGTGTTGTAGGATTTAACCACAACTGATCTGTCTCTTCACGGTCAACACTGAGTCATCACTCACTAGCATGGAGTAATGGAAAATGACTAACAGCAGCTACTTCTTAGGAAGTAAAACTCTTCCTCAAAACAGAGCTGGGCTCTTTTCAATTGCATTCTTCAGTTGAAAAGTGGATTTCACAACATAAATGCAGCTTCAATTACACAAATATTAACATGCTGCTTTTCCTGAGTAGGTGTGACTTGGATGCCTAATCAAAATAGTGGTAGTTTGGCTAGTTTTGGTGAGGGACAGCTCACAAAAATATACAGTTACATCCATGTAACTTGTAGTTTGGTTCTGACATTTCATGAGTCTTGTAAAAAAAACCCTGACATTCTAAATTACAACTGACTGAACTAAGTGTCCCTCACTAAAGGTACAGCAGGCATCCAGCCTCTTGGAACCCCTCCTTCCACGTTGACTGTTTCTCATTGTAGCATTGAAAGGAAGCGGGGGAGAGAGAATGGGAAGAATATGAAAAAACAAAAGAGCTAAAACAAGAGGTGAAACTTAGTGGAGATGCTGGCATGAGGGAGGGTATGAAAGCTGTAGGGGGTTTGTGGGCTCGCTGGAAGCAGGTATGGCCTCGCTGGAAGCAGGTATGGCAGCTCGTCAGACTCTGGGAGGAGGCAAGAGTGAACATCATCTACTTCGGTCAGCTTCTCAGCACCATCCCTGTGACTGCTTCATCTTTGACAAGTTAACTTGGATAGCAACTTTTGCTACTCTGTTGCTCCTTTTTGAAGAGGAGTGGGGATGGCTGGTGCTCCTGTCTGTCTGTTTTACACCTGGGAACATTAAGCACACCTAACTGGTTAAGAGATCTTTTTCTCTCTTCTCTTAAACGATCAGAAATCTACAACGTTCTGCTGTCCTTCACTGCAACCTGGAGACTGCAACGTGGTCCTGTTCACTCTGTATCACTCCACTTCAAAATACGATCCGCTCTAGCTCGGAGTATTCTCGGACAAAGGTTCCATAAGAAACCCAAGCATGCACGCTTGATATTCCTTGACAGGAAAACCTGCGGTTTGCGTTTCTCCTTCAGAGACTCCTTTGAGTCTCCCCCCCAGTTATTTCCTCTGTGTAGAAGTGAATCACGCCGGAGAGCGAACTGAGCAGGAGCGTTGCTCCCGCCGCTGGCCCCCCAGCAGGGCCGTACCGCCCCGCCGGCCCTGCCCCGCGCCGGCGCTGCGCGGAGCCCGGCTGACCGAGGCCGCTCTCGACCCGGTGCAGCAGCTCCGGGGCCCGCCCGGGCCTTCCCGCGCGTCTCACCCCCGAGGGAGCGATTCCCCCGTTTAATGAAGAGCTGTAATTAAAAAAAAACAAGCAGGCCCGGCCCCCCCCAGGCAGCGTCAGGCGGCGAACGCCGGGCCGGGCTGTGGCGGGGCATCCACGGCCATGGAGCTGCCGCTTGGCGCGGCCGCCTGCCCATTGGCGGCCCGAGCTGTCGCTCTGAGCACGCCGGGGCGGGAGCAATCGCTGCGCTGCCGGCGGTTGGCTGCATCTTCCGAGCGGCCACGCTCATTGGGCGCTCTGCCTACTGAGCCCGCCCCTCTGGCGTTGTGATTGGCCGGCGCGCCCCCCGCTCTCGCAGGAGGTCCCTGCTGGCTGCCCGGGCCGTCAGTCGCGCCCGGGCGGGGCGGGCCCCGGGCGCTGCGGCCACCGCCCCCGCCCCGAGCACCGCCCCTGCCCCCAGCACCGCCCCTGCCCCGAGCACCGCCCCTGCCCCGAGCACCGCCCCTGCCCCG